TAGATTAGACTGTGCAGAAATTGAAATATACACACTATACTCATAGTCACCAATGCTGATGTTGTTAACATGAATAATTTGGTAATAAAGTGTAACAATAATAATTTGCACGATTTGATGTGATTTACATTTAGTCATTTAGCAGACGCTTTTATTCAAAGCGACTTACAAATGAGGACAATAAAAGCAGTCAAAACTAATAAAAGAGCAACAATATATAAGTGCAAATGTCAAGTCTCGGTTAACCTAACACAGTACACGTAGCAAGGTGTATTCATTCATTCATACATACACACACACACACACACACACACACACATATATATATACACACACAAATACACACAAAGAAAAACAAGTAGATAGAATAGAAAAAATTGAAAGCTAGTGTTTTTTTTAAATAAAAATATAGATAAAGTAGAATTAAAATAAAATAGAAAGTGCTAGAGTTAGAGGGTCAAGTAAAGGTGGAACAGATGTGTTTTTAGTCATTTTCTTGAAGATGGTTAAGGACTCAGCTGTTGGTTGATGAGCCTAACTGGATGGTGAAATTTTGATAAAGTGATGTGTCTGTTGAAACCACAAGCAGTTCTGTCTTAGCCAGGCTGAGTTGAAGGTGATGGTCCGTCATCCAACAAGAAATGCTTATTAGACATGCTGAGATGCGAGCAGCTATCGTCGGATCATCAGGATGGAATGAGAGGTAGAGTTGAGTGTCATTAGCTTAGCAATGATATGAAAAGCCATGTTTCTGAATGACAGATCCTAGTGATGCCATGTAGACAGAGAAGAGAAGTGGTCCAAGTACTGAGCCCTGAGGCACAAGTGGGGTTATACGAGCCTGTTTAAATGTTGAGGGAAAAACACCAGTGTGAAGGGATGTGTTAACGATGTGAGTGAGTGCAGGTACAATGGCAGGAGAAATGGCTTGAAGGAGATGAGATGGAATAGGATCAAGCGGACAAGTAGTAGGATGATTGGAACAGATGAACTTAGAGACTTCTGCCTCAGAGAGTGGAGAGAAGGATGAAAACGAGTATATGTTTGCTGGTAAGATGTGTTTGACAGTTTGTGGTGTGGCAAATTGTGCACTGAGGTTTGTAATTTTATTAATGAAGAATGTGGCAAAGTCGTCAGCTATTAGAGTTGATGAAGGAGGGAGGAAAATGTTTTAAAGAGGCCATTCAAAATGTAGATGAGTTTGATTCTTGATCAGATTTGGAGAAATGTAGCATTGCATCAGTGTCTCAGCAATGGATGCTCTGCAGTGAATGGGTGCCGTCAGAATGAGAGTCCAAACAGCTGATAAAAACATCACAATAATCCACAAGTAATCCACAGCACTCCAGTCCAGCAGCTAACATCTGGAGAAGACAAAAGCTGAAACACATCCATCAAGACGTTTTTAACTTCAAACCATCGCTTCAAGCTAAAATATGAGTCCATAATCCATAATAACGCTTCCTCCAGTGAAAAAGTCCATCTCCTGTTGTCTCTCACATCAAAATCCAGCCACATATCTGTTTAGAGCCGTTTTGGCTTGTAAACAGTGCTTGATCTGTGCAGATTTCTCTCCTGATTCAGACCAGAACACTTTTTCACTGGAGGAAGTATTATGGATTGTGGACTCGTTATTATGGATTGAATATGTATTATGGATTTGTTTCTTACAAACACGCAACTTTTCTCCTCAAGACATTAACTGGAGTGGTGTGGATTATTGTGATGTTTTTATCAGCTGTTTGGACTCTCATTCTGACGGCACCCATTCACTGCAGAGCATCCATTGCTGAGACACTGATGCAATGCTACATTTCTCCAAACCTGATGAAGAGACAAACTCATCTACAGCTTGAATGGCCTGAGGGTGAGCACATTTTAGCTCATTTTAATTTTTGGCTGAACTATTCCTTTATAGAAGAGAGGAGTTTTGTTACAGTCACTCAGTTGTTCTTTCGTCTCAATAGTTGGGCTGTTAGAAATGGCAAAACTGATCCTCTCTCTCTCTCTCTCTCTCTCTCTCTCTCTTTCTCTCTGTTATGTTACTTAAAGTTGTGCTTACGAAAGTATATATATCTTTTCAAATCCTCATGTCAATTGAGTTTGTATTTGGCAAGGCCAGCCAAGTCTTTCTCTGAGCTGCCCCAGAGGTGGAAAGTTGAGGCGCAGCACAAGCCCTCCATTATGTTCAGCCTATTTTCTCTCTCCTTCCCCATTTATGTGGAAACCATTTCCAATTTGTCTCGCTGCTCGCGTTGCCTGGCCTGTCACAGGAGGATCCTTTTATGATAGATGTGGTTGCCACGGCGACTCTGATCCCCGGAGGGAGGGGCCTCAGTCATTCGCCGTCGCTGTCTTAAGAAACTGTTGCTAAAGGACTGTTCTGTTTTTTCTCTGGGATCATGAGAGGATGAAGGACCTTTCTGAAGTTTTCTGTTTGTTTACATGAGTGTTTGGCGTGCTTGACGCGTGGGAGTCCTGCTGTGTGTTGTCCAGATGTTGCCGGTGCACGTGTTTGAGAGCATAGGGAATTGACATGATGCTTCACCACCTCAATAGTCGTCTGCAGACCGTTCCTGATAGAGGAGGGATGCTCTAACAGCCTCTGCTTTCCTCTGGAACCGACTCCTTCACATACAATCGCATTCAAGCTCTCCTTCAGGTCCTCTTTAGCGTTTTATGTGTCCGTTCTCTTGTATGACAGATGGTTTTTCTTACCTACGTCAGTGGCTTGTTTTTCCGGTGTGCGCGGTAGTGAACGGGTCTGTCTTGGCATCTTCGTTCTTGGATGAGTTTCTTATGATCATGGGCTGTGTGTTCTCCTTACCGGAGGACCGGCTGGTCGCCATCGATAGGTGAGTGTTTGCTGAAGTAGTCCCTCTGGTTCTCATGAGTAAGAAACATTTTGTATGATCTTTCAGATGGTTCACATCATTATTAATGAACTGAACTGAGTGAGTCAGAAGAGACAGACGTGCAAAATGTGCTCTGCTCCCGCAAGATTGAGAAAGAATGAGCAATGAAGCTAACATTTGTGTGTCTGTTTGGTCTCCATACAGGCACATTTTGCTCAAGTACACAATAAAAACCATAATTACTACATTTGTCAAAAGCAGCTTGGTTGAAAGAACTATTTGTATTATAAAGCAAGCTTTGATTGTATAACATAACATCATTGCTCTATAGCTATAAATTTAGCCCGCATCGTATTTCATGGCAAAGAGTGCTGATGATTTTCTTTCACCATTAATGAAAGAGTTATAATCATTCTCTTGTTTAATAGAGAATAGTATCTTTAAAACACTGCTGTTTCCCATTTAAAAACGGAGTTCAGCAGCAGTTTTCACTCCTTAAAACACACTATTCACATCCTTGTGCAATAGTTGGCCGTGAGCCCAGAGTTTTTACACAGTGAAAAGTCTCTCACGCTTTTTCTATTCACTGAACTCTCTTGAACTCTTGAACAATTGTGTTTTAACGTCTGTGTCTGTGTGTGAGTGTGAGAGAGAGAGAGAGAGAGCTGATGTAAAGATTGAGATTTTTCCAGATGAAATTGAAGAATTGCAAACTTCGGTAACACATTAGTGTAGGGACCAATTCTCACTATTAACTAGTTGTTTATTAGCATGCCTATTGTTAACATATTGGTTGTTTATTAGTGTTTATAAAGCACATATTTTCAATGACCATATTCTACATCCATAATCCTTACCAATACCTAAACTTAACAACTACCTAACTAACTATTAATAATCAGCCAATTAGGAGTTTACATGTTACACAGGCAAAAGTCATAGTTAATGGTGTGGTAATAGCGAGAGGTGGACCTTTAACATAAAGTGTGAGCAAAACGTCTCACAAAGTGCTTTGCTCTTGAATCTCAGTGTGAAGGCGCATAAGACTAAATAGAGGTGGATGAAAGTTGATTGAGTGCTATTACTCTGAAATTACTATTATTTTCTGTATTATTCCTATTTATTCTTTAACATTTATTACCTTTTGCATAATCCTTTTTACAGTGCTTTTAGTGAATTCTCTCATGTTTTACATTTTTAGCATTCAGATTAACATTCATGTGAACGTTTGCAGTGACGTATTTTTTTTTTCTTATTAACAACAGCATTAAAAGAAACCAACAAACCGATTAAATTAATACAATCCTCAGTTTTCCATGCCTATATGGCAAAAAATCTTTAGAAATAGTCGAAGTTAAAACTATACATGCTATACATGTGAACTCATTAATATAGCTGCTAAAAATGCTTATGTAGCTGAAGACGTGATGTTTCTCTGGATATTGGTGCTTCACACAATGACAATATACAAATTACAGTATTTTTGCCTCAGACAATGAAGTTTAGTACTCAAATGCCGTGTGACAGCCGCTTTCTGTGCGTGTGCTTCAGATGTGTGCGCTTGGAAAACCCTATATCAGAAGATTCAACTGATATGCCTTTAAAATGCATGATTTCAGCATGATAGACATGTTTTTGGCAGGTACGAGCTGTAAAGGCACAGCTCTATTCTGAAAAAGGGGGCAGGGAGCAGCAGCTCATTTGCATTTAAAGAGACATGCACAAAAACAGCCGGTTTTTGCTTCAACTCAAAATAGGCATTTTCTGTGGGGCATTTTGAGCTGAAACTTCACAGACACATTCTGGGAACACCTGAGACTTGTATTACATCTTGTAAAAAGGGGCATAATAGGTCTCCTTAAGTCTCCTCCATTTAAACTCGGGTTTAAATGACGATAAATGCTACACGAATGTGCTTTTGGTTTCACTTGAAACAACATGAAGCCTTTAATCAGCTGCCCCAGGACTGATCTATTGAGAAGAGCTACAGATGCAGTGTTTTACACTGATTTCAGAAGTGCTTGAAATGTCAGTTTTTGTTTTATTTAATTTTTTTTGTCAATATTTGTTTGCATGATCATTTATAATGTAATTGTTAGTAACACTTTTTGATGCATGACCTCTCAGTTAATCTGCGTTTTGTAGGCCTCAAACAACCAGAGAAACCAGTTTTATTGGCAAGATGAAGAAAACGGTAAGAGATTTTTACTCCTCCTCTTCTCCAGTAAAGGTTGAAATGCTAAAATTATCAAACAAAACCGGCCGTTAAACAAATCTTTTTTTTAGGCAGTCAAATGGTAAAATATTGTAACTGAATTGGCTGAAAAAAGTTGTAACTGAAACCGACTGACCGTCTGCGTGTTTAGTTTTTCAAAGTAAGCCAACTTTTTTACATCAAAAATATGCAAAAAATGCTGCTGGGGTATAAAGTCTATAAATCGGTGCTCTTTGGATACGGGATTTCTAAATTCATCAAAAAACGAGTCACTCCAAGGCACTCGAAATGATAGTGAAAAAATTAAAAAGCCTTTATTCATGAATGGCTTTACATTAAAAGCAACACCTTTTCATCCTCCTCTTCTCCAGTAAAGGTTGAAATGCTAAAATTATCAAACAAAACCGGCCGTTAAACAAATCTTTTTTTTAGGCAGTCAAATGGTAAAATATTGTAACTGAATTGGCTGAAAAAAGTTGTAACTGAAACCGACTGACCGTCTGCGTGTTTAGTTTTTCAAAGTAAGCCAACTTTTTTACATCAAAAATATGCAAAAAATGCTGCTGGGGTATAAAGTCTATAAATCGGTGCTCTTTGGATACGGGATTTCTAAATTCATCAAAAAACGAGTCACTCCAAGGCACTCGAAATGATAGTGAAAAAATTAAAAAGCCTTTATTCATATGGCTTTACATTAAAAGCAACACCTTTTCGTTGCTATTGTCATTTGTGTACATAAAGTAATGACTTTAATATTTCCTCTAGGGCAAGAACATCGTGGTGTTTTACGGCTCACAGACGGGCACGGGTGAAGAGTTTGCCAACAGACTTGCAAAAGATGCTCATCGCTACGGCATGAAAGGAATGGCAGCGGATCCAGAGGAATATGACATGGTAATACATGCGATGGGATGAAAACGGGCTCCTCTCCTGTTTGTGTTTGTTTACACATGCTTTTATTTGCAGAGTGAGCTCTCCCGTCTGACTGAGATTGAGAACTCGATAGCGATCTTCTGCTTGGCCACGTATGGAGAGGGAGACCCGACCGATAACGCTCAGGACTTCTATGACTGGTTACAGGAGGGCGATGCCGACTTCAGTGGAGTTAAATATACAGTGAGTTCCTCATCACGGCAATTACGTGATTATAGTAAGGGTAAAATTCCCTGAAAATGTGCTCATCCTAAGGCCATCGGAGAGTTTGTTTCATCATCAGGTTTGGAGAAGCGTAGCATTGCATCAGTGTCTCAGCAATGGATGCTCTGCTGTGAATGGGTGCCGTCAGAATGAGAGTCCAAACAGCTGATAAAAACATCACAATAATCCACAGCACTCCAGTCCAGCAGTTAACATCTGGAGAAGCCAAAAGCTGTGTGTTTTTTTTTTTCTTCGAAGCGTTGCTTTCAGCTAAAAATGAGTCTATAATTCATAATGTTGCTTTCTTTTTCACTGCAGGAAGCGTTATTATAGATTATTGACTTGCATTTTAGCCAGAAGTGACGGTTTAATGTTAAAACATGTTAATGATGGATTAATTTCTTACAAACACACAGCTTTTGTCTTCTCAAGACGTTAACTGATGGACTGGAGTGGTGTGGATTATTGTGATGTTTTTATCAGCTGTTATTCTGACGGCACCCATTCACTGCAGAGCATCCATTGCTGAGACACTGATGCAATGCTACATTTCTCCAAATCTGATGAAGAATCAAACTCATCCTAATCTTGGATGGCCTGAGCGTGAGTAAAATTCAGCAAATGTTCATTTTTGGGTGAACTATTTTTTTAAGTGTGTGTGCTCAGGGACTTTTCATTTAAGCAGTTGTCGAAGCACTTTGTGAGGTTTTTAGACTTTACCAAATCCTCCAGGAACAATGTGTTTCTAATACGTTAGGTGCTTTCCGACGTACGCTTGAGCAAACGAGACCCATGACGCAGTGCAGCAGAGCAGAAGTGTATCTGGGGAATGCTGTGTCATACTTCCACAAGCCAAAGTCTCAGACAGCTTTCTCAACGTATACTACACTGACATTGTGCAAAGTTCAGTGACTCCGTGTTTAAAGAACAGTGAGGCCACATGTTTAGCCGAAGTGCTCACTACAGATATGGCTGAGTGACTTCTGCATAAGTGGATTTAGAGGAATAGTGCATCCAAAATTAACATTCTTTCAGTATTTACTCACCTTCAGATCATTCCTAACACATATGCTGTCATTTTTATGTTGAATACAAAACCTGAATTTTTATTCATATAGCAACAGTGTTTGCTCTGTCAAGCTAAAAAAATTAAAAAGTAAATATAACACCTTAGCACTGAAATGGTAGTTCACATATCATGAATTTAAATGCATCTAAAATGTATCTTTAGTTAAAACAATAGCTAAAAAATAAATATTTATTTCTGATAGTCAGGAAATGTGTTATTTTAGTATAATTGAGATACTTTTGATTAACATTTTGAATTAGTTTTTATTTTTATAATTTGCGTTTTCTTTTCTTTTAATGTTAGTTAAAATTGTAGTCATTTTGTTGTTTTTTGTCATTTTATTTCAATTTTTTTATGTTTAGTTTTTATTCATTTACTATTTCAGTTAGCACCTCAAATTAAACTAAATACAAATGAGAATGTTTCCTTGGCCAAAAATTTAAATAAAATAAATTAAAAGTATTATGATTTATCGTTATATATTATATTATATTATATTGTTTTATTTCAGTTAACATTTATTTTATATCTGGTTTCAATGAAAAAAGTCTTGGACCACATTTACACTCGTGATCTTAATAACAGGTGACTATAAGAAATATAAGGTATAGATATAGAACAATCCGTATGTATCTGTTGTAGGGCTGCACGATTAATCGAATGCGATTGTCATGCGCATTTTGTTAGTAAAGCCGGTTCTGTATTTCATAGTATTTAAGCAGTGATAAAGGCATTGCATTATAAATATACTTTATTTTAATAATAATTATAATAATAAGAACTCAGATAAACCGTATATTGTCATAATCGTGCGTTTATTAGTTAAATCTTCTGTTTATCCAGCTACCGCTCTAGGGATTTTCTGGGTTTCTTCTGCGAGGCGTATTTGGAGTTTCTCTGGCCTTCGGATGGAGATTTACTGCTGATCACAGAACCGTGCTTCACTGAAAAATACGCATGACAATCAGCTTCGGTCGAATCGCGATTTCGATTCCATTTTGATTTATTGTGCAGCCCTAATCTGTTTGTATATGTAATGTCTAAAACGTATTTTGAAGGTGTTTGCACTGGGAAATAAGACATACGAGCACTATAACGCCATGGGAAAGTATGTGGACAAGAGGCTGGCTGAGCTGGGAGCCCAGCGGATCTTTGACCTGGGAATGGGAGACGATGACGGGAAGTGAGTGACGCTCATTATAAAGTTTCTGCTGGTGCTGTGCTTACTTTTTTGAAGTATTTTTATGTTTCCCAAATCGAAAATACTCTGATAATGTTTTACTTCGCTACATTTCAAAGCCAAACGTCTTCCTTCTTTTCCCACTAGATTTTATGCCAAACATGACATTTCTTGCTAATTTGAAGTTGAGAAGTATTGTGAAATTCAAGGGAGAAACCAAACTAATTCAAACTAGAAGAAATAGAGCTTAAAATATTATCACCCTTTTTTTTTTTCACCATAAAATTTGATATTGACATTTACATGCATCACAACACTTCTTTGCGTTCAATGGGGAAGGAAATGCTTTGCATGAGTCTGTAAGCGCCACAGAATCAGGTACCTTTTAATTTGGGGCCCATGAAATGCGAATTTCTTTTCTCTTTTTTTTCCCCCGGATTCTGTGTTTTATGATTTAATACAAATTTATAATCAAACATCCTGTCGAATAAACTGAATTAATAAATCTTAATCAATAAAGATTAATCAGTCTTTGAAAATGTAATGAAATGAAAACGTAATTTATAACAAAACCTTGCGTTTTATTCATTTATTTTTTTGTCAAATAAGATAAGAGAACTGTATGGATAAATTAAAACATGGATAAATTCTTGGTTTTCCTTACTATTATGATTATTATTTTGAAAAGT